TTTATAGGCGTGGAATTTAGAACAGTGGGGCATTTTCACCTGTTTTCAAGAGGATGCCTAGGCTACAAATATAAATAGCTTCTAACTGGATTTTGAAGGACTTGGCTGATGGAACCAGAGAAAGGGCTTAATATCCAAATTTTGAGGCTATTACTAGAAAAGCAAATATTTTGCTCTTCAGGAAGATGCTACTCTGCCAGGTGACTAGGAGTTGTGCTAATACAGGACGTCTTAGGTCCCCATCAGTCAATCATGTACATAGCATAGTTGACATAGAGCTTTTCACATATACTTCTTTCAATTATCCCTCCTCACCCTGTAGGGGACCATTATTACCCTCCCCATTCTGGTGGTGAAGAAGTATGGCTCAGAAAGATTAAGTCATTCTCTCAAGGACTCCACAGGGACCCAAGGAAATTGGGGGTCAGAATCTGAACCAAAGTCTATCCTATGAATTGTGTACTGCATGGAACTTCAGAAGAGGCCTCCGGCTCTGACCCTCCAGCATTTAGTAAGAAAGCCCTGATGTTAATCACATGAAAGTCAGCCAGCGTTTATCAAATGCTTGCCTGTACTGGGTGTGTTGCATAAACAAGAATTCACATCTGATCTTCTGACTTCAGTCTGGTATACTTGCCACTCCACCTCATTTCCTTTTTTATAAGACTATATGGGCACAGTTGATCACACATGGCACTAGGCTAGCAGCTTCCCTTCCATTCATGTTGAGGTTTAATTGATTGAGCATATGTCTGCCTGCCATGCTAGATGTCAGCTCCTTGAGGTCAGGAAAGAACCCTGTCATAGTCACCATTGGCTCTCCAGTGCCTGCTAGAGTGAGAAATTATGAAATTAAACAAATGAGTGTAATACCTACACCAGCTCTCTGCAGAATGGGTGTCATCCCTGCTTTACATTTGAGGAGACTTGAGACCTAGAGACCAGCCATGACCCAAATTTCACAAAGTCCCACTTATGTCACCTAAAGGGCTTATGAGCTGTCAAAGCCCATTCTTTAGCATCATACTGTTAGGTTTTCACCACCACTCTGCGAAATTCTGTTTGCTTTAATGTCAAAGCGAAATCTAGAAGGAAAAATAAAGGAGTTCCTTTTATTTCAAGTACAAAAGAATTTATATACACACACACACACACACACACACACACACACACACACACGTATATATAAATACAATGACAACAGTGCCTATGGCTTGAGGACAAATGATAAAGTAGCATCTCAGGCTTCTGAGATGTCAGTGGGTCCATCCGCTCAGGCAGAAGAGAACCTGGACACTGACAGGTTGTGTGACTGTCAGCACCCCATAAACATCAGGGTCCCCCTGTTCAGGCCCCTTCCATTAAAATGTGTAAGAGCTCACAACCCAGCATGTAAAGGGTGGATGGAGGGGTGTCCGGCCACCAGGCAACTGGCGCTCCAGGCCAGGAGAGCTCGTCTAGAGGAACTGGCAAGGAAATGGGGCGTTTGGATGGACAGCTCCGCGATCTCTGGATGAGAACTGTGGAGGATCTCATTTCACTTCACATCTATCCAGGGTCTGACTTGTCACAAAGGATAAACAACAGAGCCAGAAAATGGGGAGATGTGCTTGAAGAACCAAGTTCCCCTCAAAGGAAAAGCTGCCCCGTTGCCTCTCCGTTCCCTTATCTGGAAAGTGCCTGTCTTGCAGCATTGCTCTGAGGGTTGTCCAATGAGGAAGAAGCACCAGAAGACCACCTGACCTTGTAGAATTCCCTTGCGCTGTCTGGGTCTCAGTAGCATCACCTCTAGGAAAGATAGCAGCATTGTTTAACAGTTCAATGAGACATGGTACATGAAGGGTGCTTTGCAAACTGTAAAACCTGAATAAGTGTTCATTATTAAACCAAGAACAGCTTTCCCACACATTACCCCATTTGATCTAACACCAGCCCTGTGAGATGGGTGAAGTGGGAATTATTATTCCCGTTTTACAGAAATGGAAAGCAAGGCTCAGTGAATTCCATAACTTTCAACTTGCAGGTTACCCAGCCAACAAGTGGCAAAGCCAAGGGTAGACCCCAAATCTGTCTGATCCTAAGATTCCTGGTTTTCCTTCATTGCACATAAGCAAAAAGGTGCAGAAGTGAGTAACGGCTGCAGATTATGTGGTTAGTCTTGGAATGCCAGTATCAGTCTGTGTTTTGTCTGGACTATGGTTCCTGGAGGGAGGGGATCATATCTTATTGACCCATGGATTCCTGGCATCAGGCAAGTCTCTGGCACATAGTGGGCATGCATGGAATATTATTGGAGGAATAATGAATCAGTATGAATTTATCGATACCTGCTATGTATTAGGAACTCTGTACCCTCTGAACTGGGTGCTATCATCATCCCCATTTTACAGAGGAAGACACTGAAGCTCAGGGCCAGTGGATAGGCTGCCTACGGTTGAATAACTGGCAGAATTAATATTTGGAGCCACATCTGATTCCAAGTCACTAGCTTTTCATCCCACTGCTTCCAGCCTGCTTAATAAGGGATTGAACTACCTATTGGCTAAGACCTGAAGTCAAGTTGTGGAGAGAGCCTGCCTCCTCGGATCTCCACCCCCATCAACTCTGCACGCCCTGCTGCCTGAAGCACCCAGGCAGTGGCCCCACCTCGCTGCCACCATAAACTGCTACCTGAAAGAGTGCTGAGTACACCCAAACAGATGCCAAGCCAATCTTCCCTCTTGGCTTCCCTGGAAGCTCTAGCCCTGAGTGCAGGCTCCGCCTCCAGAGTCACCAGGGGCCAGGGCCCTAGGAGCAAGGTGCAGAAGGGATGGGAACTGCAGAAACAGGACTCGGGGAGGCCTGGGGCCTGCAGAGTGTCATTGTGGTCTGTGTGCGAAGAAGGGAAAGAAGCTTGAAGGGCATTCTGAGAAAGGCCCATTCTGGGAGGACTGCTTGGTGGAATGACACTGCTACCCCCCTCCCCTCACTTGGCCAGTTTCCCTCAGGGCAACTCACTAGAGATAAGCAGATAAATAGTCCTGGACTGATTTCCACCAGGCTGAGTAGGGTGTTTGTGATCTGTTTTACAGTCTCAGGCACCTATAGCCCCAGGCAAACACAGATTAATCCATTAGCCAACAACCTTAATTAAGGGTCGGTTCTGTGCCAAGATTTGTGTTGGGTATCAGGCCTAGACCTGATTAGAAGAATTCAATCCAGACTCGGGCGTCCCTAGTCTGATACTGAGACAGACACAGAAACAGCAAACCACTCTACCATGTAGTGTGGGAAGGCCAGGAGCGATAGAACAACCATAGGATGAATTGAAGGCGACTCCTCTCAGCAGGAGGGACACTTGAGCTGAGCCTCGGGGTAGATGATGCTCTGTAACATGGAGGGTACTTATGATGTAGACATAAAGTTCCCTTAGAGCCGGAAGGAATAATGCCATCAGGTCCCCCCTGCAGTAGATGAGGAAACTGACATCCAGGGAGGGGAAGTGACCTTCCCAAGGTCACATAGCAGATTAGTGGCTGAGCAGGCACAGATCTTGCAAACCTGATCCTTGGACTCCTCGTCTAAAACTCACTGTCCCGAGAAACATTTCTTGAGTTTGTGGCCTTTGCCGTTTGCCAAGCCCTTTCTGTCATCCATTTTACTGCATGCTCATCACAGCCCTGAGGGTCAGCACAGGGGCTATGAGGCAGCATCAGTACTGCCCACACTCCGCACATCAGAGACGTCAAGGAACCTGGCCAAGGTCACGCAGCTCAGAAGCTCCTGAGTCTGGCTCTAGGTCAGGGCTCTTGCACCCATTTTACAGCAGCCTCTCTCCTCTGGGCAGCTGAGGAACCCAGTGTGTTACCGCCTGTAGCATCTCCCTTCTCAGGCAGTGTGCTTGGCAAGGTGTCTGGCATGGGAACTCACTATAAATGGTAACTCACTGTGTTAATTTTTAATTCTTGAACATTTTAGCCATTGCCTTATAGACTCATAAGAAGGACTGAGCCTCTAGGATCTCATTTCTTTCTTTTCTCAAAAATAGCTAGACGATTAGTAGCTTAGAAGGGAGTAGTAATGGGCAAATTCAATTCGACACAGGTGCCAATTAACTTAATTTGAAAGAAACTAAAGGTGTTGGGATTTTCATTTGAAGATGGTTGGGCCACGAGGCACAGAATCAAGTCAGGGTCTCCCTCTAGAGCCCTGGCAGGGGACATCGTGGCCATGGTTGGTCAACCCGGTCCCTAAACAGCAGTTGTGTTTGGGAGCCTCCACAGCCTCTGCCTGGATGACCATGAAGCTGCGCTGACCCCAGCCCCAGGGGCTTGTGAATCAGGTCATGTACGTGTTGGTGAAGGGCCAGACAACTCCCACTGTGGAGTGACCCCTGTCCCCCACCCCCATCTGATTGCGTTGGATCAGAGGGGCCATTTAGATGGTGCTTGGAATTGCAGTGGCAAAGCACTGAACATACACCCGGCAAAAGCACAAACCAGCCACCTCCTAGAGTACATGAGGCCCAGGGTCCAGCCTTCCTTTCACCCCTCGTCAATCAGAGTCAAGGCTGGACCAAAACGCAGGCCCCAGAACACACCCACAAGCCCTTCTCTGGCGATCGCGGACTCATCCTCACTGTTTTCACACATAACCGGTTTTTAATTAAATTTGACTTTTCCTCCCATCTGTTCAGCGGGACAGTCCCCTTTGGAAGTGGCAAGTACAGACGTGGGGACAGGCTGGCAATAGGGGAAGCAAACAGAGCAGAGCCCTTCCATCCATCCTATTTTTCGAAGAATGGGTTTGGGACAGGCTTCTGCCCGGAGAATTGTTCTTATCCGAGGGTCATTGTCCACGGAGATTAGCTTCCCCAGCCCCTGGAATCCCAACTGCTCCCAGAAGCCAAGGCAGGTAGCCAAGTGTGACTCTTGTTCCCAGCAACAACTTGCTCAGTACTTACTTTTTTTCTTTCTCCTCCCTCTCCTGCTTCTCCTGGCCCCTCTTCTTCCTCCCCACAGAGATCTGTGCTGCCGACTGTGGGGGCCACGGCGTGTGTGTGGGGGGCACCTGCCGCTGCGAGGAAGGCTGGATGGGGGCGGCCTGCGACCAGCGGGCCTGCCACCCGCGCTGTGCCGAGCATGGGACCTGCCGCGACGGCAAGTGTGAATGCAGCCCCGGCTGGAACGGCGAGCACTGCACCATCGGTAAGATGGGCCGGCGGGCCCGGGGTGGCTTCTCTGGCCTGCACGGTGCCTTTGTCTGTCGGGTACTTCAGGGCCAGGGCTGACCCCACTGCATGTGGGAACTGGGCAAAAAGTCCTTTCATCTGGTGACATTATGGTTGGCATTTCCTAGACATCAATTGGACTAAAACTCATCAGTGGACACTAACCTCCCTTCCTCCCCAATCTGCATTTCCCAGATGCCAGCTGGTTTGCATGCCTTGCTAGTTAGCCCTTCCCAGGCCAATTGCAGTGTAGCTCTGCGTTAAGGAGCCTGGGTTCAAGAATGAGGCAGAGGAGTCTCCCTTAGCAGCTGTGAGCAAGTCCCAGTGCCTCTCTGAGAGCCTCAGTTTCCTCACCTATAAGATGGGAATAATAATGCATGTAAAGAGCTTAGAACAGCCTGGCACGTAGTATAACACTCGATAAATATAGCCATTATTATCGAATTCACTCTCTGGTTGGGAGGCGCTGGGCTTAGCTCTGAGCCCTTCACACCACTGGCCTCCTAGTCCTGAGCTCCCAAAGATTCCCGGAATCCCGGGGAAAGCTTCCCACAGGCCACATCTGCATCCCATTAGCCTAGGACCCCTCCTCCCCTGTCCTGGGCTTCCGTCCTGTCTGCGTTTGTCTCCTTTCTCCTCCCTGGGGGGCTCCTCGGCACCAGGGCCCCTGCTAAAGCAGCTCTGTTGGCAGCTTTCAAAACAAGCCGATCACTCCCTTCCCTTCTTTCTGCCTTTCCCGCTGCTTTTGTTGATTTTAAACACAGCCAGACATTTTGCTTGGTTTATTATCTGGAATGAACACTCACCAAAAGCTCTTTATTGAATCAACTGGTCTGTGGATGTGTGCTTTAACTTCTTGCATTTTTTTAAAGGCGGGTTGGATCAGATGGTGCGCACATGCTTCCAAAGGCAGGATTCTGGGTGCCTCTCCCGCTCTGAGAGTCACCTCTTGAGTCTTATAGCAACTGGGAGACGAGCCCCAAAGCTTTGGGGGGGACAAAGGAATTCTGAGCAAATGGGCCTCTTATCTCATGGTGTTTTTTGTTTTGTTTTTTTAGGTCCCATTCCTTTTGTTTTATAGCCTGAAATCTGTGCATATTCACCATCCCTGCCCTCACAACATCACTCTTTATAAAAGGCTATAGAATACCTTCTACTTAATACATTGATAATAATGGCTCCTAATTTTGAATACTTTTATTGTGCCAAGTGCTGTGCTAAAGGCATTCACTGCATTATTTCATATTCCTAACAGTCACCCTGTCAAGGCACACACATTATTCCCTCCTCTGCAGAGGCATCCGGCCCATAGCCTTCCCAGAGGCTGTGTCTCCCTGTTAGGGTTAGCTCAGAGTCCCACACCTAACTCACCAGCCCACACTCTTTTCAGCCACACAGAGCCCATGGCAGCCCTCCCTGCTTTTCCGTAGCATTCGTCTTGCTGTGGCTTCTGGGTGGCTTCTTGTGTCCATGTCATCTCACCTTGTGATGGACCTGAACCCCTGGTAAAGAGAAGGGGCTCAAGTTCCTGGCAGGCCCTCTTCCTTCACCTCTGCTTCCCCTTTCCTGCGGGACTGAGGACAGCTGACCTTTCAGCCTCCCCAGCCCACAAGGGGCCCAGCCCTATTAAAACCAAAATCAGAGCTCAGAGGGAGGACATTTCTGTTTTCCTGGCTTGCTCACAGTCTTCAACTCGGCTTCCCAAGTTCCAAAAAGTTATGGATGTCAGACTTTTATAAGATAAAACATCAAATTTGAGTCAGATGATGAGGGACTTAGGGACATTCTCTCCAGCGCAGTCACGGATGACGCATGACCGGCTTGTGGGCAGGCTGGGCTACATGTAGTGTCTCATCTCGTGGCTGTTCATCAGCCGGACCTAAAGAATGTCCCTTTTGTTTTGCTGCCAAGAAGTCAAACCACCCCCTCCCACCTCCGCTGCCCACCCTATGGCGAGTCTTTAAGAGCAGATCCCTCCTCGGGATTTCGGATGCATCTTCCCCTCCAGATAAGACATCCATCACGGTGAATGTGCATGATTTGAGAGGGAGGTTGACAGTCATAAATACCAGAAAAATGTCACAGGACATTGAAGCAGTAATGGGCTAGTCATAGTGGCTCAGATGAAAGGACGCTGGCTGGGAATTCCATTACCTTTCATTGTGTGGTGAGCATTTTCCGTCCCTGTCTCATCTCCCCGCATGGCAACTCGCTCCCCTGGGTCTCTGCCTGTGGCCAGCTGCATCCCTGCCAAGCAAAGGAGCACCTCAGTGCTGAAGGAAGGCTTTGTAGCCTTGGGGACAAGAGGGCAGGGCCAGGCCGTGCAAAGGAGGGAAACAATGGCGGTGCCTTTTTTTAAAATGGAAATAAGAAGGAGAAAGCCCTTTTTAAACTTGAAAGGTAACAAGAAGCACTTTCTTATATTTCCAAGGAACTTCTGCTCCCTGTGAGGATCATTTAGGAAAAGGAAAAAAAATGCTGATGTGAGAAGTCAGAAATTCAAGTGTTACATTTTCTCTTGTTACCAGATTCTTATACAGCAGGTCATTCTACTCTCGCTAGCTCTGATGCTAGAGTATATTTATGCCGCACGCCAGGGAGAGAGCCAGGATCCACAACACTGACTCGGAGATTTCCATGCAGTGAAGGCAGAAGCGAGGAGGGCCTGTTTATTCACACTGCCACCCTCTCTAAACAGAAAAGCGGGACTTGATTGCTTTCAACAGCTGGCGCAGACGAATAAGCCAGGTCTGCGCTCCTCATGGTCAAGTCCTCAGCATCAGGATCTTTTACCCCAGTGACATTTCCCAGAGCAGATTACTAACCTTGGAATTGAATAGCTCCTTTGGTGGTTTTGCTCCATCTTTTAGCATAGAGGTTGGTTTTTGGAATAAAAGGGAATTTGACAGTGACATCCTCTTTATCAGGCAGTTGTGGGGTTTTTTGGTTAAAAAGCAAGAATATGTCACATTGAATTCTAATTCCTTAAGAATTATCTGTCTCTTTGCATCTTCAAGAAAGGTCAGACAGACCACAGGGTCAGTGGGGGCTTCTGTTTCCTGCTCTGTGAATCACAGAATGGGGTGGCAGAGGCCTCCTGGTGTCCACAGCATGGCACACCCATCAGTCAGCCTGAATCTGAGCTACCTGCTCCTGAAAATATCCAACAGATAAAAAGGGATTTCCTATTTTTGCTCTCACTCGTCACTAATGCTCCCACTTGTACGTATCAGGGATTTTCAACCTTTTTCATCTCGTGGCACACATAAACTAATCACTAAAATTCTGCAGCACACCAAAAAATATATTTTTTGCCGATCTGACCCCAAAAAAAGGTATAATTCTGATCCATTCACACTGGACAGCTATTGTTGTGTTGGCTGTTGTCGTTTTTGTTTTGATTTGATTTGACAATCTAAGGGAAGTCAGTGCTCCTAACTAAAATAGTCAAGAATTGCTTGTTTTAAAAATTCTTGTGGCCCACTGGTTCAAAATCGCTGGCGTATATGGAACCCAGTTTTCCTAGTCCAGAAGTTAAGGTAAGATGGATTGATTTCTATCTATTTTTCAAGTATATAGTCAACACAGAGTCACCAGAAGCATGCTTTGGGATATCTTTTCCAGAAATTTTATGGCTCTCTTAAGTCTAGGGCTTGACCTCCAATTTTTTTAGAGAAAGCTGCAAATCACAGTTAAATTTAAGAAGGTGTTCGTTTTGGTTTTTTTCTATTTCTTTGAAAGCACTGCTCACATTTTGGATCACTTCTCTGATTGTTATTTTATTCACTTCAGTGCCCCTGTCTATAAAGTCTCAAAACACATGTGGGAAATGCCAGCTTCTGATTACATTGGTGAAATTCCAACCTTGACCCCAAAGCTGTGATTATTCAAGATGCCAGATATACAGAATTATTTACTAGGCTTCAGGAGAGCTGTCCAATCACATAAGTCTTGATTCTTAAACAAATCCTCCTCTGGGAGTAAAGATCAAAATAATACTCTGATGATGCAATTGCTACAGTGAGCAAAGCCAGATGAAGAGAAATTATAAAGAAAGGCCACAAAACCTTCTGGAGTTCTTTGTCCACTTTCAAATGGTAGCTCTCAGAGTGGGGTTTTGTTTTTTTCTTTGTTGTGTAATTGGAGAATCTCAACGAAAAAGTCTCAAGTCGCTCACGAGGCATGGGTGCCTGTGTGATGGCCCCATGCATATCCCTCCTCAAAAGCATTCTCTCACAACATGGCCTGTGACCTGACAGGACAGATGCTTATGGGAGTAGTTAATGGTTCTGGGAGATTTTAGCCCACACATGGTAGCGGTGGGAAGCGAGGAAAGTCAGTGGGCCCTGTGCGTTCCTGTCAGGATGATGCCGTTGGCCATTTACTCATTGACCATCCAAACAGAGAAGAGTATTAATGTATCCAACATCTTAATAAGAACATGACTTTGATGGTTTTCCATTCGTCTGAAAGAAATTTAGGTGATTATAGCCACCCCAGGCATCGCCTGCTATAATGAGCCTTGTTTAATCTGGCCTAATGTGTTCTTATGATACAACGATTCAAGCCATCTGAGGCTCCTGGGGAAGAAGAGTGAAAAGCCTCTCGCCATGTTCTCCATAACCTCGGATTGGGGGCCCCCGAAGCTTCTTGAAATTATCCTCAGAGAAACTTTTGTTGGTATAGGCAAGTCAAGGAGAGAAGTTTCCATGTTGGAGGTCATAGAGATGCTAAAAAGGTCCACGACCTCCCAGATCAACCTCATGCCAAAGCTCAGAGTCTGTGTCATAAACAGCTGTGTGCCACCACTGTCCTCAGCTTCTTGCATAGTGATGGGAATGTAAGAGCACAAGAAACATGTGTGCAGTCTTGAAAAAAATAAGCATGGCCCAAGAGGAAAAATGACTCTACTGCCATCATCTCTATCCTGAAGTTCTGAGGAGAAAGATGAACAAATTTTGTGAAGTCTGAATCCACCGTTCATAATGCAGACTTATGGAAGTTTTGCCATCTTTACGTAAAGTTAAGACTTTAAAATCATGATGAATTTTTAAGTGACCATTACTCATGGCCATGTGTGCCAAGATTATCAAGCAATGAAAGCAATAATAGTATGGGCTTCTGCATAAATGGTGTTGGACTTCAGAGACGTGGTTATCACTTATATTTTTAAGAGCCAGAGACAAAGAAGCTCTATTTCATTCCCAGGAAACTGCTGGACTTAGTATGGACTGGCTGTTATCAGCTTTTGAATTCACAGTGTGGCTTGAAGTCACTGTGCAAAATGGTCTCTTGATTTGTGGAGTGAGAATTTGAAGTTTGTTTGTTTGTTTTGTTTTTTTAATATATTTTATTGATTTTTTACAGAGAGGAAGGGAGAGGGATAGAGAGTTAGAAACATTGATGAGAGAGAAACATCGATCAGCTGCCTCCTGCACACCCCCTACTGGGGATGTGCCCGCAACCAAGATACATGCCCTTGACCGGAGGAATCGAACGGACCCTTCAGTCCTCAGGCCAATGCTCTATCCACTGAGCCAAACCAGTTAGGGTGAGAATTTGAAGTTTTGAAAGTCCACTCCTGTCCCCTGAAACCAACAACACTGATTGCAACATGAGTCTACCTCTGTCACCTCTACTGGCTGCTATTGCTGCCTGCAGTCTGGAGAAATTAGTAAGCATTTTTAAAGGCATTAAAAGCATATTTACATTCAACAGAGATCTTTATTACTAAAACATTCTCAAAAATAGAATGGCACTAGAAGAGCAAGAGCTCTGAAGTCAGCACCTGGGTGTGGATATACTCTGTACTCATCACCGGAGCCAAGGTATCATCATTAAGTTTGGAGGCAAAGTGTTTCTTGCTTGAGAACTCTCTCAGAGTGGATACTGTGTGGTGGTGTGGCCATTTGGATCACAATGTTGGTGTCTCATTCAGCCTAATCATCCTTCCCAACCCTGGGAAAGACATCTAGGCTCACTCCATCTCTTCTGTAGCTGGAGGTCAGAGTTTTTACAAGAATGTGTGACTATGACCCTCAGCAAAACCCTGCAGATCTGAAAGCTAAGAGCAACAACTGAGCCAGGAGATCCTGCATGTTAGTGCTGCCTGAAAGCACATCCTGGGAGGCGATGTCTGAGAAATTTTAGATCCCTTTGCAAAATTAGATGAATGAACTTGACTAAGACAAAAGTGACAGATGAACCAAGAATCAAGAAAGCCTTCACCTTAGCCAGAGGTCCTTTCCGGGATGTTTTACCTGTGGGCTGGCCCTGGTTTTCATTGTCTGGCATTCCACAGCTTTGTCTATTGGCTCCTGCTTACTAAGCCACTGGCCTTCATGTTCCCTGGTATAGCTTATTATGTTGTGGACGCCACAGCATCTATCAGAATGAAGGGGAAGGTGCAGGCCCAGTTAAAACCTCCCCTTCCCAAATTTCCACTTGGTGTGCAGCCTGCAGGAGCATATTTCATCTCGAAACAGAGACCGCATGGATACCCAGACTAAGAACAGAGCCTCTCTTCCACCAGTCTTTTGAGGCAAAGATATTCTGATAAATAACAATAGTATCTATCCAGAGGATTGAAAAAATAAAATTTATGATTTTTTATGAAGAGAGTAAGAATGTCCCTACAGTTTAGAGAACCCTAGGGCTTCCAGATAAGGCCCCACCATTGCAGTCCAGTCCTACTTACGGACTTCGGATTCATGTATGAAATCGAGCTGAGGATGGGGGCCAACCTGGCAGAAAGCATCAGGCCCTTCAGGAGACAGCCATCTGTCTGGCCTTTGTGGGAGCACACATGGAGGAGTCATAGAGAAGGGGGTGAAAGGGAAGCTCCTCAAATGATTTAGGGCTGCAGCCGAAGTGGGAAAGGTGAAATGGGGTTCCTGATTTATTCCGAGAATGAAGAGGTCTGCCCTGCTTTAAACACACATATATGCACAGTGGGGTTTCTTTCAGAGCAACATTTGACCCCCACCCATAAAATAAGATTGCCAAATGATTCAGTGCTTGGATACAACCCCTCCATTGGGGGAACAAAGCATATATTATTCTGTCTTTTGAGTTAATAAGCATTGAGAAGGGGTCAGGTTTTCTTTTCTTTTTCTTCTTTTTCACAATGACATCCATTGGCCAGCACCTCGCAGTCTTTGTAAGATGCACCGAGGAGAGATGCCTCTTACTTAGAACACCAGGCATGCGGCACCCAAGTCTAGGTGGACACATGTGTCCACAGAACATTCAGGAATGCAGACAGATAACCTAGTGGTATATTTGACTAAACACTCAACCCACTTCCCTAGAGCGTATCAAAGATGACTTCAATATCACATAGTTCTAAATGCCAGTTTCCTGGGGACCCCTCTGCCCAAACAGGGTGCACCTGTTCTTAAACCACTGCTGCCCCAGAAGGGAAGTTGGATGCTGCTCTGGGTAGACAAAGGGCAAGTTCTCGTTTTCCATAGAGCTGAACAAACCTGGCAGAACAGGAGGGCGGCCACTTTCGCAGCTTCCCATCCTCCTTTTCCTCCCGTTTTCCTTACCCATTCGTCATCTTGTTTGTATGATCATATTTGGGTGAAGTTCCTTTTGGCCCTTCCTGGAGAATGTGCTTGCTCTCCCTCCTCCTCTCATGGTATCCTGTCTTTGATTTTATTTTCCCCACCATGGCAGGTCTGCCCCAAATGTGGGTGCGCCCCCTTTGTCTCCTCAGCACCTGGCATGGTTATGTGGCAGGCAGTGTTGCACTTATTTGATCCTACCTTAAATGTCCTGTCTTTTATTTCCCAAGCGCACTATCTGGATAGGGTAGTTAAAGGTATGGTCTTCCTTCCTCTATTTTCCTATTGTCTTTGTGTGTGTGTTTGTGTATAAGCATAAAGAAGAAATGCGTATATAAAAAAGTGTATATACACCCATAAGCATGGTGTCTAGATACTGCCACATCCCCAGCTTTGTCACAGCATCTACTGCCCAGTGGGTGGGTGTTTCGTCACAAGGTGATTGATACTACCCGGAGTGTCATTCTTCCCCCAAAAGTGCTCAATCTGTTTGTGACATTACCATTGTGCTATTGTCCTTCCCTCCCCATACACACATACACTCCTCATGCTTTCTACCCCATCTCATGTCACCCTGCCCATCCCTTACGGCCCCTGGTCCATTAGAATTAAGATGGTGGGAACCAGGGTGGGTGGCCTGAGAGAAGAAGAGACCCCAGAGCAAGCTAAGAAACCTGAAGAGCTGCATTCTATCACTGACGTGTTCACTCATCCAACAACCACATACGGAGCACTACTATACTAGAGACTGTGCCAGGCTCTGGACAAAGGGCAAAACAGACCCTTTACCTCAGGGAGTGGGTGGTCTTTTGTTTTTTTTTTTCCTTTTCAGAGGCCTGGCTTTGGTAAGTTTTCTCTTTGAACAGTATTCCCTACAGGCAAAGTTATTCCTTCTATTTTAAACATTTATATTAATTAGGTAGTGCCTAGTTTTCCAAATAGGCCTCATTGCTCTAAGAATAAGTCTCAGGATGATCAGATACGTGTGCTCCTAAAGGATGCCAACTCCCCAGGAGAAAAACCACGCCCTATCTTTTTATCCTTAAGCTCTGGCACAGCACCTGGCTCAGTGGTTAAGGGCTTGTGCACTGCAGTCAGGCTGCCTGAGTTGAATCCCAAGTCTGACAATTAACGAACTAGCTGACCGTGAGTGAGTTACGTAACCTCCCTTCACTTCAGAGTCTTTATAAAAAAGGATGATAACAGGACCCACCACCTAGGGTTGGTGTAAGGATTAAGTGAAATAATGAATGTAAAGCACTTAGCACATGGGCAGGAATGATGCTCAGCAAACATTAGTTATGCTATTCTAGCATCATGTGCTCATTCTCACTCTTAATGTGGAGGACTTTGTTAGCGAGACTAATTTGTGAAATTATAAAGAAAAGGTGAAATTGGCTTTTAATAAGAGATAGCAACTTCTGTTACAAACTTATAGAGAAGGTTTAGGGAAAACATAAATTACTAAATGCTTTTCAACTAGGATATCTTTGCCAAAGATTGCAAAGGTGTTACTAGACCCATCGGTGGATGCCTGGTGTTGAGAAGTTCCTGTTATTTCACATGTTGATTTTCAACTGAGAATAAAATCTTTCCAGTAAGAGAGAGTAGTACCTGTGAGTCTCTATAGGACTTTCACAAATAATCGTTAGAGGAATCATCAAACTAGATTAAATTTAAGTGTTACCCTCTATTTGGTGAATTTTTCCTACTCGGTAAAGTATTGCATATTCATGAGTCAGTGAATCATAAGTTGCTTCAAAAGACAAATGGCAAAATCTATGTCTGAACCAAGCCCCTATCTGGCTAACTTTCTGGTATAATGGGTACTAATCCTAAGAATTCAGAGACCTATATAATGCAGGCTCAGGACTTGTCAAAATAGAGTGCTTTGCAATTCAAAGACAAGCCAGCTTCTATTCCGTGCTTTCCAATTGTATTGGTAGAGACTAAAGAAACAGCATTCACTCAACAAATATGGAGGCCAGGAAATGTGGAGGCCACACAACAGAAACAGTCCCTTCTCTAGGGTAGCCCACAGTCTAGCAGAGAGGACACTAATAAAACAATTCCAACATGATGAGAGTTAAGATAGAGGAAGTCCAGGGGCCACTTAGCAAGGAGATCTCCAAGTTCAGAGGGCTTTGAAGACCAAGATTGTGAACTTTTACATAAACAAACGAGAAAGCCACTGAAGGTTTGGTTTTAAAAGCAGGATGACGACCTGGTGACATTTGTGATTTGGAAGGCTCAATCTGGCCACATGTTGGAAAAGGGCTGACGGGGAGCATTAGGGGACAGGGAGGCCAAATAGACTATTGCTGATATCTAGGTAGGAAATGATGGTGACCTAGATAACATTTCTAGGGAAGTGACGATAGGGATGAAAAAGTACCAGAGGACCAGAAAGAGAACCAGAAAGAAACGGGATATTTTGATACGTTAGGTGGGTGTGTTTTACCCCCTTAACTGAAAAATAAATAACATCAAGGATTCTGAAAGTCTTCTCATCATTCCTGCTGCTAGCTTCAAGGGGGGCTTCCTTGTAGGCTTAGTAGAAGGTGGAAGATAAAGCGGTCCCTTGTCATTTAAAGGGCATCATTTCTTTTGAAAAGCTTAGCCCTTCTCTAACCCTTAAAATTACATTATTTTGGCTCTAGCAAATGCCTGGTGTGAGTCCTTCCAGAGGGAACTGTTAATGTCACTTGGGTTCTCTGAATTATTGATGAGCTTCGGGGTTTGTGGAATTAATGAGCTTCAGCAGTGGGTAGGGATGGACATATTGCTTTAAGAAAGTCAGCAAGTCACCCCAGAGGAGCCTTCCTCATACTGGCTAATGGGGGTGTGATTATCCCAGAAGCAAATTGCTAGATGAGAGCAGACCTCATTCAACCAACAGGTACTCAGGGTGAAACCCTGAAACTGATAGGACAGTGCAGATCCTCAGGGCATAAGTGGGTCCATTTAAAGAAACTGATGGTGGATAAAGTGCCCGCGATTTCCCATGTAGGGCTTTCCCTCCTGGAGAACACCTGTTTCTCCAGGCAGTTTCAGAGCAGCTCAGGATGTGTGCTCGAGGCACTGAGGGCTAAGATGCGCTCACTAGAGCAGGGCTTCCCACAGTGGAATGGAGCATTCCACGTTTCTGTAAATGGTTACAGGGGAGAGTTCTGAGGTCAAAATGGAAAAATGTCCTCATAATCTAATCAGGTTTCTTTATTGTAGGACTTTCAGAGCCTTTACTATATTAATATTGAGTGTGACTTTCTAGGATAAGACAGTAGGATGCAATGTTTCCCAAACTTATTTGATCTCAGAAGCTTGTTTTTTTATGACCTCAGAGAACTAATAAAATGCACACTGAGACATACTTTCTGAGATAGAAGACCCACTTTAAATCCTTTCTGGAACAAAGTAGGGTAAATAGAATATAAAATTCTTCAGATAAGGGGATATATGGCATCTCTGTACACCCCAGAACACAAGCCTGACATCCAGTCAAGTTTGTTGAAATTAAGAACAAAATCATCAAAGTTGACGTTGCTTTGACCTTCTTCCTGGGTTGGTTATACTGGAAGGAACTAACAGGCATCTCATTCAAACTCTCATTTTATGGATGAAGAAATTGAGGCCAGAGAGGAAAAGTAACTATCCCAAGGTCCCACAAGTTAGTCAGACAGTAGGTACCAGAACCGAGGTCTCCTGCTCCACTCATTGGTTCACTGCAACAAATATGTATTGAGGATCTGCATGGCATGAATTAGGCCCAATGTTGCTTTTATGGAGTTTACATTCTAATGAAGGGAGTAAAACATTAAACTAATTGCAGAATTAGTAACTTATATATGCTTGGGACAGTTGCTCTCAAGAGAAGGACAAGGTGCTAGGAGAGAATGAAATGGTGGCCTTGGGCTGAGGCATGTGGCCCCAAACCCATCTCGCTGCTTCCCACACAGCTGCATGTGGATCCTCATGTCACTGGGCTTCTCTGACTGAGGTCTCTTTGGCAAGGTTCGTATTTATGAGGACCATAGTTTTTGACCCAAATGTTGACATAGTTTGAACTGACAAAAGGTTATTTTCTGGTTTGTGGATTTCTTAGTGTAGTTATACAACATTAAAATAAATAAACTCAAAAATAATATCAATAATAACAATAGCAGCTATCTTTTATTGAATGCCTACTTACGTTACCCACTGTGCTAAATAGTTGACATCCATTATTTCATTAATATTCTCAACAACTCTTTGAGAATAACTATTAGTTATTACCTCCATTTTACAGATCAGAAATTGAGGACTAGAGAGTTAAATAATTTGCCAAATCATCCCACATATAGTAAGTAAAATGATGATGCTGGGATTTGAACTGAGGTCTGTCCAGCTCCAGAGTCCACACACTATTACAGCACATGTTTTTTTGGGGTTTTTTAAAATTAGGATTAAATATTGTGAAATTGGAACTGCTTTAAAAATTTAGGATCTGAAATATATAACAAAAAGTTATTTAGTTTAGAAATAACAAATGTAAGGTGTGTAGCACAGTGGCATAGACCTTGAGTGTATAGCAACTGTCATTGTCATTACTGTCCTGAAGCATCTAATCAGGGATTGGCAAACTGTAGCCCATAGACCAAATTTGGCTCATCACCTGCTTTTGTAAATAAAGTTTTATTGGAACACAGCCATGCTCATTCATTCATAAATTGTGTGTGGCTGTTTTCAAGCTATAATGGCAGAGTTGAGTAATTACAACAGAGACATTATGGCTTACTCGCCTAAAATATTTATTATATGGAACTTTATTGAAAAAGTTTGCTGACTCTGATCTAGATACTTGCCTCAGTTTACTATTGTGCCTTTCTGTGAGCCCAACCTGAGGTTGTGGGTACAACATATGATATTACTAAAAATAGGAGGTAAAGGTAAATAGAAGATTCAAATATTGTGTTTGAGCTATAAGTCAGGCTGTGTTTATCATGCATAATTATCTTATTTAATTCTCCCAACTATCCCATTTTAAAAGTTGTCTGAGGCTCAAAGAATTAAATAATGCCCAGATCCTACAGCCGCTGAGTGGTAGAGCCAGCCTTTGATATGGTTCCCAAACTTGTGCTACTTCACAAGAGATGTTCTTTGCATCTTACAAGGGGCTACACCTTAGAGAGCAAAAGAAAACAATATATTGCCATTCTTAAAATTTGGACCTTGTTTCTTCCAAGACTGATTTCAAATACAAATGAGGCCTAATTAACAGGAAGTTCCACCCAGCTAGACACGAATTTGTATGGGACTAATTGGAGAATGAGGGAGCCTGTAATTGTTTAGACCAGGAAAGGTGGCTGATGTTGGCTAAGGAGTTAGAATGCCTGAGTGGTCATCTGCGCGTCACAGCACTGCGCCTGGGCTTTTACAGCTGCTTCCCCCACCACTTTTGGGTGGCAATGCTGGTGTTTCTCACCTTTCCCAACAGGCTTCTGCTGTGCAAAGGCCATATAGCCTACACTTGCTTCTAAACTTCTAATCTCTCCTAGGCTTGGCGTGCACACTCAGTAAATGGTTCCTCCTTTGAATGGAAAACACAGTGGCCAAGTTGATTGATTGGTTGCTGTGTTGAACATCTCATATAAATTAGCATGTTCTTTTCTTTTACGTTGCAATAACAGTCAACTATCAAAAGTCCTTGAAACACTAAAGTTTTAGATTCTAATTGATTGGCCATTTAGTGAGTGTCTACCTTAGCCTCGGTCTTGTAGTGGACAGCTACATTCACATTTGTCCCATTTAAGAAAAACAGGTCGATTCTCAGTTATTTCATGGCAGAGAATTCAGTTTGTAGCCAGACTTGTAGCCGTGTGCTGCTCATAATACTAAATTAAGTGTTATAGATGACAGAGCGTTTTCCCAGCATACCTTTCCCTGAGACTGAGCAGAGGCAGAGAGAAGACACGGAAGGCGTGCCAGTGAAAGGTGGTTGTTTTTTTTTATAGCTCCTCTGAGAAAGGCATCAGCGGGATTGTTAAAATGGGGACTTGAATGAAAACCACATAACTTGGCAGATTCTCAGACATAGATTTCTGAGCCCACACACTCAGAGAGAGGGTCATCAAACACCTGTAAATCTATTTGAATAGTAATAAAAACTCCCCACCTTATGATATATTCAAGGCAGAACCAAGGCAGAGTCTAAAAATGGCCTGACCCTTCTTGATGAAATCATCCACAGCCCTCTCAGACAGATGGCCCTCCTGTGTTAGGTTCCCACCATACTCTGTACATCTCCCTTAGGGCACTTAGCAATGAAATATTTTGCTTACACAAATCTGTCTCCTTTGATAAGCTACATGCTTCTCAAGAATAAGAAGTAGGTCTTATTCATCTCTGTTCCTCCAGTGCTAGCCCAGAGAAGATGCTTAATAAGTGACAGACAGGCAAACAGATGTCCAGATGAACAAAGTTAGGGGAGGGCAGGCTGCCCGTTTCTGCATTTGCAATTGCTGACAGCCCTGGTTAGTCTCTCTTGTGTCAGTCACCAGGGCTCCTCTGGGTGTATAGCCCTTCTTAGTGGCTGCAGATAAGATGGGAAGAAAAAGACCCAAGGACGCTTCCTCAGAACAAAGACAGTTGTTTAGGAGAAAACAGGACAAAATAATTGAAAAGCCTGAGGTCCAATGCAGCTGATCTAGTAACAAGAGCTGGAAAAAGGTGCAGCCTCTAGAATGAGACCCAGAGGTTCCGAGGGGGTATGAGGAGTAAACAGAGAGATGATTTCTTTGTCCCAAACAGCTGCCAGAGACAGGAAAAACAAGAGTGAATAAGGAGCAAGAATCGGGCAGAAAGCTCCATTGGTCAGATTCCAACAGGCCCACGTCCACCGACTCTCGCTGTAGAATCCTGATCACTTTTGAAAGAGGAGATTTTAGATGCAGAAGGTGTGGGTTTCAGACCTATTCCTGCCACTTCCTAACTGTGCCACCTCCTGACTGTGCCACCTCCTGGCTGTGCAGCCTTAGCAAGTTCTCCACCTCTGAATCTGGGTTGCCTCTCAGTGAAGTGACAGTTCCTAATGCTACTGGCCTCCCTGGGTGCTGAGGGCACCGATGTGCTGATGGGATGTGAAAGCATTTTATAAGTTGGCAGGCGGAGTGTGAATGTGTGTGACTGCAATGGGCCATGGACGATCCGACCTCAATTCTATGTGCTTTGCTTTGCAGAGGGTTGCCCTGGGTTGTGCAATGGCAATGGCAGATGCACCTTGGACCTGAATGGGTGGCACTGTGTCTGCCAGCTGGGCTGGAGAGGAGCTGGCTGCGACACATCCATGGAGACCGCCTGTGGTGACAGCAAAGACAATGATGGAGGTAAGGCTGTGGCACCCATGAGCTCTGGGGTGGGGGGAGACTCAGGGTGGAGTGTGGGCATTATTACGGAGTTAACAGGCCACCAGTACACCATCTGGCTAGTCAAGAAGGCCTGCAGGGCAGGCATAAAATTGTACATGTGGTCAGGATGAGCGCATATCACTAGTTGTTCCATTTGAATTAATTAAAAGTAAGTAAATGAAATTAATTGCCATCCGACAGCAAGTGCGCAGGAGAAGGCATATGGAGGACAGAATTTTTCAATTCAATAGTGAATGAGTTGCCCAATAAAGCTGAGAACCCCCTCACTGGTGATGCACAAGAAGAGGCCATCCAATCCTGTATCACAGGAGGTGGCAGAAAGGATGCTTCTCCAAGGTTGAGTTACCTTTTCTCTTCTGTTCCTCACCAAGCACACTGAGGACCACCTTCTGCCCCTGTGGGTTTGTAATAGAATCTGTCTTTGCTGTTGGATTTTTTCTAAGTGCTGGATAGTCAAAACCCTAAGGAACAGAAGCCTAGTCTTGTGGAACATTTATTACCTAAGAGTGAAGCTCTAACCCCAAATCTTTGACTGCCTGTGTAATTGTAAGCAAGCTGCTTGATGTCTCAGGGCCTCATGCTTCCCATTTCTAGAATGAAGCTATTGGATCATGAGGACCATTCCAGTCCTTACATTGGTGCTAGAATTAGCCTTTATTTCTCTGTTGTGTAAACTTGGATAAATACAACCATGATGTGGTCTACTTTCCCAGGAATATGGACTGATTCTTCCTGACTCTACCTGTCTTTGGAGTTATAAGGAGAATAAAAAGATAGAAAGATGAAAAAAAACTGAAACAGTTAACCCTTCTTTTCTAATGATGACCTAGTTGGCCTGGTCCAGATGTGTTTATGCAGCTCCCTCATATTTATGCTAAGGGGCTTTCTAGTATACAGCAGAATAGGAAATAAACAGGTCAGAAACTTTGTATGCCACCCTTTGGGAATTTTCTACTTAGAGTGATTCTATAATCTCAGTGCACAGTAAGGATTAAAAGGCCAATTGTGTGTTACTGTGATTACTCTGGTTCATTTGCCTTGAGTTGGCTGTAGCAAGCTGAAAAGGGCTATTGCAGACGGCTGGTCTTTATCTGAGCCAGCTTTCATTCCTTCTACCTGCAGCCTGCATCCAGGAAGTGATTGGGCCTGTCCACCCAGGCCTGGGCCCATGGAGTAATTGTCAACAGTAGCTCGTGGGGCTGGGCCTTGGTTGCCAGGAGAGACAGTGGGTCCATGTTCTCTTCCTGACACCTTACAGGATTGAAATATCCTGTAATCCATTAGAAACTTGAGTTCATTAGTTCTGTGCTCCATAAATACCCAGAGTTCCTATTGTGGGGCCGGGCCCTAGGCACAAAGATGAAGAAGTCTTGTCCCTGCACTTCAGGAATTCAAATGAGGAAGAAGGACCCAAAGTGAAGTGCTAATGGGCAGTCATAAGGGAGGTTGTAGAGTCAGATATTGGTCATTGTGGGAATAGGCAGGTATTCATCAGGAAGGTGACACTTGGGTAGGTCAGCGTTTCTGGAAAGGAAAGGGCTTTCCATTCAGAGAGATCATGATGGCAAAGGAAGGGAAGGGCACCAAGTGTCCCTTGGTGATATCGGTGGTCTTCTGGCAAGATAAAGTGCAATAATATTTGCTCTTCATAGGAAAGCGATGTTAACCTAAATTATCTGCATAATTTGTCCAGCAGTCCCCTTCATTTCACCTGTGTAGACACAATGCCAGTGACCAACAGGAACTTCATGTAATAGAAGAGAGGGGCAAAGGGGCAGCCCCAGGAAGTCACTCTCTTCTCAAGAGTCCAGGATCTTGGCCAAAGCCTTCAAACAGCTATTGAACATCTGGGTAGCAGCCGAACTGAATGTCCTTGAGAAATGTGGGGAAAGGGTGCATCTCCCCAACAGCACACATACAAAAATAGGTTATTAGACAAGGTTCTCTTATTCTCCCACGTGAAACGCAATCCCAGTATACCCACTGTTTACTATCCTTCAAAGCCAGCCTTCCCAGCACTAGAACTCACCCTGCACAAGAGTGAGCCGTGTTTAGCTGTGGACTGTCTACATGGGGGAGCCCATAGCCCCACAGCTTGGGTGGAAGAAAGAGCTTCTTGTCATGGGAAATGGGGCTGATCCAGACCCCAGGGGAACAGGGCCTCCTCCAGCTGCTCTGAGAGATGAATGGCAGGAGCTACAAAAGAACAATCAGAAAATCCCCACATTTTTTTATTAAGGAGAATATACCTCTTACATTTATGAAGCATGTGATGGGCCTTTACTTTGTAGAAAAGCCATATAACAGCATGGTCACCTGAGATCATTCACTCATTCAACAAATGTTAACTGAATGTCTACTCCACAGCTGGTCCTGTCCTGGCTCCTGGGGCTTCAGAGATAGTCCCTGCCCTTGTGAAATTCATAGCCTGGAGGGAGAGAGGGTAGCACCCAGTAGCAATGCAGTGGGGTCATTGCTGAGATGAGGAGGCACCCACTCATTTAGCTGCTACCATCAAATGCCTGGATGCCCCACTGGGAACTTGCTATGGTCCCGCTCTTCTGAGCCTTCCAGTCTAGCCAGGAGGACAACCCATGTGTCATCACGATTGGGAAAACAACCAGCTGGGGAGACCAGATTATTGAGGAAGCTTGGCCTTGGGTTCTCACCTGTGAAATGAGGAAACCTGTCACCTCAGAGCCCTCTCGGCTTGGTAGGCTCTCCACCCTTTGGGGGAGCCAAGAGGTCTCTGCTTTGCATGATGGCACAGATGAAACAACCATGCAGGTGGAGATGGGGCCATCCTCACTGGCCTCTCTGTCACTCTGGGTCTTGGCCAGGTGGGGACGGTTTTAGTGGAGGGAGAAACAGGGCAGGCTGTGCAAGGCAGCACAAGAGTGAGCCGTGTTTAGCTGTGGACTGTTTGCAGTGCAGACAAGCACACTTTCGCTGGGCTCCTGCTGTCTGCAAGTCACCGTGCTCCTTTCTGATGGGCTATAAAACCAATGAACATGGCCTAGTCTTTCTCCCTCAGGAAGCTCGCAGTCATTTGGAAGAAATGTTATCCAAACCACTACATCTAATGGAGGCAGAATGAAACAAGTGCCTTCATTTCAGCCATGATGTGGGCCGCACATCCCAAATAAATAACTCAGGGTGGAGGGAAGAAGTGTTAGGGACTCACTGAATGAATATTCTTGTCTGATCTGACTCAGGGCCCTGGAGAAGGAATTCGAAGAGTTTAATGTTGAGTGACAGACAGGACTGGAAGAGACAGAGAACACCGACTTCAGCTCCCTCCTCCTACTCCCCGGCATGTTACAGACAGGGAAGCAGGAGCCCAGAGAGGGAATGTGACATCATACATGTCCAAGTCACACAGAAAGTCACTAACACGGCCAGACTGAGACCCGAGCCATTCCACGTGGCCCTGTGAACCTAGAGCATTCCCACCTCCTAATGATTGGTTTACCGTCCTCCTCCTAAAAATGTAGTATTTACTTGAATTGAAATAGGCTATGACAGTATCACAAAGCCAAACAGAATGAGAATGTTGACTTGTATGTCATTTCGCAGTTTGCAAAGCAATTGTGCATCCAACAACATCACCAGGAGGCATGCAGTATTATTACCCCCTTCCTATTCCCAGGGCTTAGGGAGCAGCGCATTTTGCCCAGGTCTCACACAGCCTGCAGGAGGCAGACCCTGCCGCAGTTTGAGGCCTGGCCACATTAGAGCTTTTTCATGTGCCCAGACTTCAGAAACCCAACTGTGGTCCTTTGAGCTATGTGAGAGCTCCCAGTTTCTCTTCTTTCCCAATTTGCTAGGCTTAAAGCAATTCTTTCCAAATTAAACTTGAATTTCAGGCTTCATTAAGAATGCAGTTGCTGTGTTTTTAAACTCTGAGGGGAAAAAAAGTTACACAATGTGACTGAGTTGGGTTTAGCTGTATTGGTTTGTTTTTGTTTATGATTGTCGTCTAGTTTTAAAAACAAGAAACAGATCCTAAATGGGACTCAGTGGCTCCCAGCCTCCTGATTCTCTGTCAGGGCCACCCCGTCAATCTTGAATGCCCCTAGATTTTACCCTGGGCACAGGTGGGGAGAGGGAGCAGCAGAGCAGGCAGGCACCGAGGTCCTGGCTGACCACAGTGAACCCCTCGGTGTGCCCCACTTGATGAAGAAGGTGTGCCTCATTCCTACTGCACCCCTTTATCAAGACCTTTAATCTTCTCATCTGTTACACACAGACCTTCCGATAGGGATGCTCCTCCCATGCCCATTACAGAGACGGTGAAACTGTGCCCAAACATGCTGTCTATAAAATAAGGGTACTAATGCCTGCCTTGCAGGGTTGCTGTGAGGATTAAGGTGATGTATTTAAAGGGCCAGAGAGGTAAGATAACAGTGATTAAAAGTGGAGGATCTGTACCCAGGTTGGATTCCTGGCTCCCTCACTGGCTGCATGACCTTGAGTGAGTTACTCAACTTCATCACCTGCAAGTGTCGCTTCTCTTTCTCCTGCTCCTTGCCACCCATAATCACAAGAGCATGATGTTTATTACTAAATAAATATTCATATATAAACAGTCATTCTTAAACATTGAAATTATGCTCTCTTTAAAATTTTATAATCTACTTTTTTCACTTATGCTCACACTGTTTTTCTCCATATAATGTATTTTAACCTCTTTTATCTCTGGATTAAAATTTATATTTCAAACTGTTATATACTCATTGCTAAAGGGGGGAAATCAAATGTACAAAAAGGAAAATAATAGCCATCCTGTAGAGGGCAGCCCTCGGTGCCAAGCACTCTGCTGGACACCGTGCATATGATCACCAGCCCTCACCCCCCTCTGCCAAGGCAGACGTTTACAGGTAGGGAAACTGAGGCTCGGCGAGCTGAAGTGCTTTGCACGTAGTCATGCAGTGAGAGAGCTAGGATGCGAACGGAGC